CTCGTCGCGAAGCGTATGCACGCGTATGCAAGTTGCAAAAGAAGTGAGAGTAACCTCGAGCAAAGTGATTTTTGAACGAGGAACACAGTTTGTCTCCCCTCGCGACTCCGTGACACTGGAAAGTTACACGTGCACCTAATGTTTCACTAGTCCTCGGCGCGTCCTCGACTGATCAATTCCTTTATAATTGCAGTCACGCGCATGAGAGTGGAGGGTGTCGTTACCGTAACGTTCAACGTCGTGCTGAAAGATTTCTTCAAGCTGGGCTACAACAACGGCCAACAACAGAAGAAGCAATTGAGAGATTCCAGTTGATCGATGTAAAACGTTCCATCGACATTGCACCGACATTGTTTCCTTTCCACTTCTTACGATCCTGTGTCTTTCCTTTGTTACTTGCATCTCTTCCAGCAAGACAGTTTCCCCGTCATTCTCGGACATGTACGTTTTGTTTGTCAGAAGACTGATTGAGAGCCACTCCGATTTGCAATAAACGAAGAAACGTTGATTCGATCTGAACGATCTCGATTCAAACATTCATTCAATTTATTCCATTTCGACTCAATCCTTTGACTCGTCTCTAAAAAACTAAATAATAATAATAGTAGTTATAGCAATAACAACAACAACAACAATAACAACAATAATAGTAACAATAATAATGATACTAGTAATAATAATAGCAATAATAACAATAGCAATAATAATAGTAGCAATAATAATAGTAGTAGTAGTAGTAGCAGCAACAACAACAACAACAACAACAGTAACAATAATAATGATAATAGTAATAATAATAATAGTAGCAATAACAATAGCAATAATAATAATAGTAGCAATAATAATAATAATAACAACAACAACAACAGTAACACTAATAATGATAATAGTAATAATAACAATAGCAATAACAACAACAACAACAACAGTAACAATAATAATGATAATAGTAATAATAATAGTAATAATAACAATAGCAATAATAACAACAGCAACAATAAGAGCAATAATAGTAATAGTCATAGCAATAATAGTAATAGCAATAATAGTAATAATAATAATAGTAATAGCAATTATAGTAATAGCAATAATAGTAATAGCAAAAATAGTAATATCAATAATAGTAATAATAATAGCAGTAGCAACAACAACAACAACAACAACA